TTTAGCCACCTGAGGAATACAATATTCACTAAGCCCAAAGGGCAAGGTGAATATTGTACTTTGATTGTCTTTGAAGGTATCTAAATCATTGTATTGTCTGAAAAAAACAGCAATAATTGTTTCATCATATGATTCAACATCATATGATCGAACAATATAACACAGTATTTTTTTCTACAGTGTCGGATCTCAGCAAATCAGAGAACTAGAAATTCTTCATTTGTATAGTAATATAGAAATATTGCATATAGTTGAGTGTAACATTGAAAATTTTCATGCCAAGAAAACCATTGTTAACCGAGGTGTTCTTAGAAATATATAAAGCAGATGTAGCTAGGTCTAAGATATTTTCTTAGAGGATTACGAAGATGAAGAATTATTAAAGACATTAATAAAAAAGGTGGCAGGATATCATCAGAAACATAGCTACTATAAAGAATACTGGTCTGACACAAACCCATTACAGTAATGGCAGAGCTGCATTAAGTCTTAGTTATGTCTGGGATATCATAATTCACCTGACTGAACACAGTTATTGTGAATTAATGTTATGCTGTAGCTTAGATATTAAAAATTTTGATGTATTTGTCATTTTGATCTTTCGATATTAAATTAAAGATATTTTCTGTTCTAAATGAAAACAGCAATTATATAATACTTTTTAATTGTTATTTATAATTACCTACCCATTAATATCCAGTTATGATATTTCTCTTTGTCATTGTCAAAACTTATAAGTTTGATCATGAGATAGTGGACAGTGAATAGCATGTTTATTTAATGTAGTGTTTGAATGGCTAAAAAATGCCCCAGGACCTTATCTTTACAGTAACCAGGACAAAGGGAGGCAATTAGATTATCACACTTTGTTTTTACACTGTCCCCAGGATTACAGTGTCAGATATCTGAGATAGCTACAGACTGTAGTTCCCTGTACTAGCATAGTCTTATACATTGTGTCAAAGTCAAAATGGAAGGTTTAACTATTTCTGTAAGTATACTCTCAAGAAAGGTAACCCCTTCAGCTGTATCTAAATTTTTACCAAATTATTTGCCTTGCATTGAAGAAAAGTGTGCAAATGACATGATGTGCACATTATTATTTTTTTTTTAGATTTATGACATGCAAACTTAATAATGAAAAGTTAGAGTAGTAAACAAGATTTTGAAACCAGCTCTTATAAAAAGTTCTATCAAATGAATGTTTCAGCCCTTTCAGGAAAAGGCTTTGGAAGTTTCTGTTTTCATCATTAAAAGAAACCTGCCAGTCTGTTTCTGCAGGTGCAGTGCATCTTGTGCAGCTGGGTTAAAATTATGAATAATCAATATTCTCTTAAAAAATATGATAAAAAAAATTAATAAAAAAAAGCATTCCAGCTAGATTATCGTAATCCAAGTATTTTTTTTTTGTTTTTTCCCCTCACTTTTAATCAGATTGGATCTGTCTAATATTTTGCTAATATAGCTCATGACAGTGCCTGGTATTATCATTTTTGATCAATATTCACATATTTATTTATTGTCAGATTGGATTTGTCTAATATTTTGCTAATATAGCTCGTGACAGTGCCTGGTATTATCATTTTTGATCAATATTCACATATTTATTTATTGTCAGATTGGATTTGTCTAATATTTTGCTAATATAGCTCGTGACAGTGCCTGGTATTATCATTTTTGATCAATATTCACATATTTATTTATTGTCAGATTGGATCTGTCTAATATTTTGCTAATATAGCTCGTGACAGTGCCTGGTATTATCATTTTTGATCAATATTCACATATTTATTTATTGTCAGATTGGATCTGTCTAATATTTTGCTAATATAGCTCGTGACAGTGCCTGGTATTATCATTTTTGATCAATATTCACATATTTATTTATTGTCAGATTGGATCTGTCTAATATTTTGCTAATATAGCTCGTGACAGTGCCTGGTATTATCATTTTTGATCAATATTCACATATTTATTTATTGTCAGATTGGATCTGTCTAATATTTTGCTAATATAGCTCGTGACAGTGCCTGGTATTATCATTTTTGATCAATATTCACATATTTATTTATTGTCAGATTGGATCTGTCTAATATTTTGCTAATATAGCTCGTGACAGTGCCTGGTATTATCATTTTTGATCAATATTCACATATTTATTTATTGTCAGCCCCTAGCCAAAGATTGACAGTCAATAGTTAAAAAATTTGACAGAGTTGTATATTTTATTGGCCAATTATTGCCCATGTACATGTGCACCAGTCTTGGGCAGCTCTATAGAACAATTAAAGTATAGGTTAAATGTTGTAGATGCTTTTTAATTAAGCTATCAGTATTTCTTTTTTATGTGATCAAATTGCAGGGTCTTGCAAAAGAAATGTATATACTGTAATAAAAGTTCTGAGATCTATATAAACTCCATAAATGCATGTACGAGTAGTATGGAATTCTCTTTGATGTTTTGTAATGGGTGGATATAAAACTGATGAGGTAATCCTAGGCAAGGTCTAGAAGACAAGTCAGATTTCTATAAAATGGATCATCTTCACTGAAATTAATTTGTCTAATTTGACATTCCTCCCACAACTTTTTGTTTGCAAGTAATATGCATAATGAGATTTTTTTAAGGTGAGAAAAATATGCAAATCTTTCAAATCTTTTCTGTTTGTTTAACTGATGGATGACCTGGACTGTAGGTTATGTTAACTGTTCTCTCCCTCCACAATCAGATATGTGTAAATGATAAGTGATTTGTGGTGATGAGAATATGTACATGTAGGTATATATTTGTATCAGTACGAGTGATCTATCTGATCCCTGCACTGACTAGCCTTTTTAGTTATTTTTGGTGAGGGGCACTAAACACTTGCCAAGTATCTGTACACTAAAGTAACAATGATCCAAAAGCAAGATGCCCGAGACAGCTCAAGCTTTGTTAGTGTTTCTTGTTGACTTTGACTGGAAGCAGAACTTTGGTTACAAGGATCTCAGATCCCATGCTTTGTTCTGCAAGGGTTAATGAATGGCCACACATGAATGAGAAAGACCCCAAAAAATAGATTAATTTTGTATTATTTTAAAAAAAACAAAACTGAAAAGTCATTTTTTTTATTTTGAAGATTTTTTTGCACTTTCAAATTATTCGAAAGATTTCTTTTTTTATTTGAAGCAATGATTAATTATATTTATTTATAGACATGTATAAGGTATGAGGATATAAAAAAGAAGTACAGCTACCAGATTCATATCTTTTATGGGTGAATCCACTTTTACTTCCATCAAAGCTGAAACAATTAAGCCGTTTCACGTACATGTTGCAAGTACGTTAAGTATCTGCTGATAAAAAAGATGGGTAATTATAGTGTGCTTTTCAAGCTTAATAATAAATCTCTTTGAAGCATTGACAATATTTACCAGAAAATGTTAGAATTTGAATATTTTGTACCTAAAAATTCTACATGAATGTGTAATTCTAGATGTGTATCTAGAAATTACCATTGATGTGGATGAGGCAGAAATGAGAAATGCATTGGAAACAAGATAATGATTAATAAAACGATGTCAGATTACTATTTATTAATGGTAATTCTCTCAAAACAGGAATGGGCTCTCTACAAATAAACACACTGCATTGGATTAAATCCCCCATCACTGATCATCTGCATGTTCTATTTTAATATCAGAAGTTCATTAAACTTGCATGAAAATTGACTTATCACTTATGATGGTAGACCACAAGGCTTCTACCGGTGTGTAAGGGGAATTTGTACCTTGAAATGGAGCTTCATTTTCTGTGAATGCTAAATAAAAACTTTTTTGTAAAAATACATCAGTAGGAATTTGGTTAATTGGTTCCCATGGGTTGCAGGAAACACACAAATTACTTGTAAGATATTTATTATTTGTGTTAATTACTGGATGAATGAGCATCTCCTGTAAAATTAATGTTCCCACAGAACACATAGTTCTTTAAAATCAGATTGTCAAGTCTAGAAGGTTGATTCCTAGTTATTCTCCTGTAAATATTAACTGGTGGATGCTTTGATACATAGTGTTGAGAATGATAAAATAATTCCTACCTGGACAGGGTGTTATTTGTGGCTTAATAAAAATTGTAATAACTGGTCCAGAGTTTCATTACCTATGAAAATTGGAAATATTACATGATAGTGAATGAGGAGAAAGAAACTATAAGATGCAGCTTTTGCTTGTTAGTAGAATTCAATATATCAGTGCAGCTGTGATAGGCTAGAACTGCAGAAGCTGATTGAGAACTGCACTTGTAACTATACCTACCAATCTAGTGATGAAGAAACAGATGTTATTGGAATACAAGTGAATACTGCCTCAGATCTCATCAGGGTCTCCTATTCAGTAGAGGTCCCTCGATGTGGTGCAGTGTAGGTGTGTATTCATGTTAGCCAATGACTTGACTGTGCTGGAACCCCCAGGAGGGAGTTTATCTTTCAGACTAGTCACACTAAAAGCCTTACTTACTCCACTGTTCAGTCAGCTTGCTGGTACTTATCAGTGGTGGTGTGGCTCTGGCGCTGTGATTTCCTGAACAGAGATTATTTGTGTATACCCTCTGATTCTTTTCCTTGGATGCTCATCATAATGAAATGATTAAAAGGACATCTTTGAGTGATTGAAGGATATATCTATTTCTGTGGAAGATGGGATATTAATGCGTTAAGGATTTTGACAGCTTTTCTTGCAGAGTTAAATGTCTTGTGATCTTTCTAGGTATAGGAAATGATTCTACAAATTGAGATTCTGGAGTGCAAAATATTCTACGCATTGGGATACTAGAAATGATGTTGCATACCCATGTTGGTTTTGTTTACTTTTAATTTCCAGGAAATGAAGCCTGTGGGAATTAGTTGGAATTAGCATTTTTCAATGTGTTTATTAATAGTTTTTATCTTATAAATTTTTTACATTGAACTCTTCAAGTGTCTGATTATATGCTGAAATCAATAAGTACATATTGTTTTAAAAGGGAAATTGATTCAACACATTTGCTTCAATATTGAACATTGTTGTGGATCATAACATTACATGTAACTGCTTTCTGTGTATCTGCTGGATTTATAATGTAAAACTAGAACTGGCTTTAAAAAGAGGAGTCTTGGATGTGACAAATTTAGGTTTGCTTCATTCAAACAACCAGAAAATGAATAAGCAGACATCAAAGATTGCAGGCACTGAGGACAAAAAATGTGGAAATGGTGAATACACTGACCACTTTCTTGGCAACCATGCTGTTTCCAGGGCAAACTCAATGTCGTCCACTCAAAATACTGGACTACCTGGACAGATTTCTCCTAGCAGGAGTTGGCATCACAGCCTCTCAACTTCAGAACATTCAGAGCTAAGATTTGATGTGAGTGGCTTTGACAGCCACAGGAGGTTATCTCAAGGGTCAAGGACAGCATTATTTGGTAACCATGACAGCCATCTGAGGCTCAGAGACCCTAAGTTTGTAAGTACATCAAGTAGTCCAGAAAAAAGTCCAGGGGTTGAGTCCGATGATTCTCTGTCATCTGCGAGTAGTTGTGGTCCAAGACAAGCTACAGCTTATAGAAAGCGTAGTCTGAGACACAGAAGGAGTGAGGACAGAGACTTGGGAAAACTGCTGTCTGATAGTGTAGAGGAGGCAGAATCATTAGCTTACCCAAGGTCACAGTTGGGTGGTGATGAAGGTCGCAGGTTCAGGAATGGTCACCGTCCTGCTAGTGTATGTGGATATAATGTCCTCTGGGAGAATCGAGTTCAGGAACTAGTTGTAAGTACAAAATTGGATGAACAATCTAAGTGAGGATTCATATGTAGTAAGATAGTTTATAGGTTTTATATTTTAAAAGACTATATGTTGAATTATCTCTGACATCTTTGGATCTTCAAAAAAGATGGCACAATTGCATTCTGATCAGTAGCATGCATCATTCGGATAGGTGACTTGTGTGTTTTACCTGTGCAGTTGCTGTATCAGCTTTTTTATCTGCACTTCAGAACATTGAACTTAGAGTTCATAAAGACTCTAGTAAGTACAGATCATAACACAGATGTAAGAACATCTTATGCAATTCTATGATATCTAAACAGTAGGTAACTTCTCATGCAACAAGTTTTTGACATCATACCAAACCATGTGCAGAATTGATTCTTACTGCCAAGGTGCTGAGGTAAAATGAATTTTATGGCCATGCATAAAGTGATTTTTATATCGGTCACCATAAAATTCCCTGAACTTTTCCCCTTCTGATGGCCCCAGGGTAGCATCAATCAGAGAATGGTCCATTGTTTGGGGAATGTAGCTCCAGAGGTGAAGTGTATTGAAATGGCATATTTATCATCTCCCATTTCATCAGCATCCCTAAACAATAACTGTCAGCAGGGCTAAACCTTTGATCAGCCATAAAACAGAATTGGCTTCTGATCAACACTGTTGTTGTAAATGGCACTGAGTTCTGTTATATTGCTACAAATCTCCTTAATGTGTGTGAAAAAAACTAACAAACATTAAGGGGGTGTGTGTTGCTTCAGGAAAGAGATTCACAGGGAGGGAAATGTATACAGTTTGTGTTCAGTGTCTCTGGATGTCTGGTCAGTCAAATTACCTAGGGGGTCAGAGAAGGGAAAGAGCACTAATGTTAGGTGTTCCATCCATTTGACCATTATATATATTTAACAAGTTTGTATGTGCATTTATTTTGGAATCAAATATTTAAGTCTCCAAGTTGTTCAATTATACAATGTATCAAAAACAGTGGACCAATTTTCAGACATCGATCCAAATCATTTCTTAAATTAGTTAAATAAAGGGAGACATGTGACTATCATTTCATGCTAAAAGAAAAAGTGCATTCCTGAAGAGAGGTTAATTAAAGAAACAGAAGTACATGTACTTCTCTAATTCATTTTAAAATGGTACATCTCACTCACATAGGTATGTCAAGAGAATGAAGAATTCAAAATACCAAAAATAAATTGCAATTAAAGAATTCTTTGCATTTTACATATCATGCAGGATTTAAAAAAAGGACCAAACCCCTGCAAGGCAGTAATATATTTCAAGCATGAAATGAATATACCAACTTGACTCTTAAATTTTGAGCTGAAAACAAGCATACAATTCATTGGTGGTCCCGTTGATTGTAATTAGTAAACTAACCAGGAATTGATTTGGTTACAGTTGGGGTTCTGCTCCTAAGCTTTTAACACAAATGTCAGAAATTCCCCTTACATTTAACATGTCATATACTCATTAGGTTTCCTGACCTAATCAACTTAATTTCCAAATACTGTTTTATCAATGTTGGCCCTATTGAATTATTAACTCTGGTTCTTTTGCTATGCTCTAAAGTAATAGTAGACTGATACATGTGGTTTGGGACTCTTATGTTACAGAAAAATTGGTGAGTTGTTACTCTGTTAAGTTGTACATGTACCAAACAACTGATACACATGTAAGAGTGATAGATCATTTGAATGGGATCTGAAGTACTTTAGGTTAATTTTCATGTGGTGGAATCTTCGAAACTTGAAGGTTTGTTGCAATATAAATATACTATTGTAAATAGTAAAATGAAATGAAAAAAAAATGTTGTACAGGACTTTATTTGGGCCCCACATGAAATGAGAAGATTTAGAGTCATATTGCTCTGTCTGTGTATATGTCTGTATCCATTGTAACACAATAACTCAAACAGTTTTCTTCATAACAATTTCAGATTTTATATAGAAGGAATTGACCATACGATAAACACACTTTGTAATTTTTGGTCCTATTCATCCATGCATCTATCAACAGTTTTGTTGTGACACAATAATTGAAACAGTTTTAACCCTTTACATTTTCAAGTTTTGACAGAAATACTTTACAATAAGGTACAGAAATACTTTACAATAAGTTACAGAAATACTTTACAATAGTAGGTACAGAAATACTTTACAATAAGGTACAGAAATACTTTACAATAAGGTATACAGAAATACTTTACAATAAGGTATACAGAAATACTTTACAATAAGTTACAGAAATGCTTTACAATAAGTTACAGAAATACTTTACAATAGTAGGTACAGTAATACTTTACAATAAGAGAAAGACTCCTATAAATTTTTGGGTAATATCACCTTGTCTATACAGTGTACATTTATGTATTTTGTTCATGAGATATGACTCAATTATATTGCATGGTAGCACTTTCAAATTTTACAAAGAAGGAATTAATTATATGAGAATTTTGTGATCATATCATTTTGTCTCAGTATCTTTGTCTGTTTGTATGTCCACTCTTTAAATATTTAGTAATTGTAAGACATATTCCATGTCACCTTCCTTTTCTAAACATTACTCAATACAGTATCAAGCACAGTTGTCACTTTCCAGTCATAACCCTCAGCAGGACCCTCTCTGACTTAATTGTCAGTTTCTTTATAGACAATGGTTCTTAACTGTATTTTGTTTTGTTTGTTTTTTTTTTTTTTGACATAAATATATAATAACTACCTATGTTTTGTACTTGAGCTACATGTACAAAATATAAGGTGAAAAATATCGAAATTTTGAGCATATTAAATATTAAAAATCAAAGTCAGAAATTGCACACTTAGTCGAAAAAGAGAGAGAAAAAAAATCAGAAAAAAAGAAGATATATTTTCTGACTTGACTATAAATTAATTCTTGTGAAAAGGTTTGATTTCAGCATGACTCATTCTTCAGTGTGTATACTTGCATCACCTTTTTAGCAAAGATTTCTTACCAGATACCCTGGTAGCAGAGAGAATTCAGTGTAATCTCTGACTCCATCACGATTCTTCGGGAGACTATACAGAATAACACCTGCCCTTTAGTTAATGATGATGCACTAGACATGTGTACTGATTTAGCTAATTTCCAGTAATAGCTGTGTGTATTATTCTGTTGTTTGATCTAACATATTTAATTAATTATGTTAATAGGATGAAGGTCGACATAGAAACTATTTATAGATGGTCGAGGTTGAAAGGAGAGTAAACATTGACTTTTTTGATTGGAAAAAAATGTCATGAATTAGTAAATAAGTTAATATGTACAGTAAAAAATATTGCAATTACATACACTATGCAAAGCAACATTTTTTTAAAGCAATGCATTGTATTACATGAAAATGATACAAGACAAACCCTGGCGAATGTTTTATATTGTTAGATTTTACAACTATATGATATCAGTATTTGTAACAAGTGATAAACAAGCATAAGATTATCTTTTGTCAAGAATTAAAGGACCTTGCAGTGCCGAGGCTATTGCACTGAACGTACACAGTGTTTTCAATAAGATTTTCAATAGAAGGAAATATATTTGGAACAGCAGGAAACCAATCTCGGCGAGGGGTCTGGGGGCCGAAAACGAAAATTGGCATTTTTGACTCATTTTTCTTACCTCTCAGGCCAATAAATTTTTCACATTTCGGTCACTATCAATTACCAAATTTTACCTAATGAAGCCATTTAGAAAACAATTTGTACCCTTTCACTGATTTGTTATATGGACTTTTGACAGACTGATTTTTTTCCCCTGAAAACTAGGTGTCTGTAAAAACATTAAGACAACTTTAGTATGAAATTCTGTTTGTGCTAGAATTTCATACTGAAAATGCTACATAATTAGTCCCTTTCACATTAACTGGTCAAAAAAATTATTCAAAATTAAGGACTCGGAAATAATTTACTTAAAAATTTAAGAACTTTTTAACACGTAGTGACGTACAATACCCCCCAATAATAAAACACACAAAAGAATAGCATTCATTGTTCAAAATCAGATATCATGAGTATGGGATGTTTCTGTGAAGTCCAGAATGTTTAAAATATGTCAGTATGATTTTTACATTATCTATGAAGTTAATAGAATATTTGTGAAATGAATAAAAGTAAATGAAAACCCATACATGTACAAACACAAAACTTATCTGAAATTCTTCTCCTGTCTTCGATTTCTCTCACATTTTGAAGAATAAAGTACATTAAATGTATAACTCTACAAGTATGTTGAACACTCCTATTATATCAGGGATACAGCATACATTTTCTGTTTTATTTAGTAAAAATATAGATATTTTCAATTTGTTTATTCTATATGCAGCATTTTAATCTGTAAGATTACAGCTTTATTAACTTGTTGCTGTTTCTGTATGATGAAGTGTGGTTTCAATAATTCCTTTGTTCATTTTAATATTGTGTTAGTGTGCAGTTACTAGGATCAAAGGTCAAATATCTCTGTTGGGTTAAGAACATTTGAATGTTTTATATATCTATATATATATTAAAATGACTTTGAAAATCTAACTTTTTCCTGAATCTTCTAAATCCACTCTGTTAAGTTTTCCTCCAGAGGAGCTCACTAAAGAGTTGCAATCCAAATTAAATCTCACATTTTTTTCTCTGTTATGTTTTACAGGAATTGTTGACTAGAACATCCTTGGAAACTCACAAACTTGATTTGATGGCCGAAATTTCCAGCCTCAAGATCAAACTCGCGTCAGCTGATAAGGACAGACGAGATCTGGATGACAGGCTCAGGCTATCTCAGGTGAGATATCTCATACTAAATACCTGTCAGATGAGTGCATTCCAAATCAAGGGTGATATTGCAGTGTTAAGAAAAAAGGATGAGTATATATGGACAGTATAATACTAAAAAATTATATTGATAAAAGTTAATAAGAATGAAATCTTTGGCAAAATCTATGCTCAAATAGAAGGTGATCATGATAATAGTAGTTATAAGGGTGTATTTGATTGATTAATACTAGTATTATGCTTTAAACAAAAAACTAAAATATAACTGTCAATTTTTTTTTTAATATAGAGAAAAGGAAGTAGTTTAGAAAAGAATTGTTTGTGAAGGAGTTTGAATTTAATCTTGCGATATGTTATTTGAAGGCTTTTGCAGACTGCATGTATTTTGTGAATAAAGAACACACCTACTATAAAATTACGATTTTCCAAAACTTACAACCAGTTGAAGGATATTACAGTTTGAATTGACATGTTACAATAATTGTTGATAATTATGTACTTCGAGATGAAGATGGCAACAGTTCCTGACATTGTGAATTAACTTTGCATAGATCAAAATACCAGGGAACATTGCATGCAGATTGTTGTATGTAAATTCTGCACATGCTGATGGATTGTGGAATGGCATGTTACAAATCTATGATACCCCGCCAAAGTGGAGTCATAGTGTAAAAATTATCCCTGTACAAACTAAACAATGGATTAATGCTACTGGGTTTATGTTTCAGAGACATGCAAAAGAACTGGAATCAAGATTAGCTGTAAAAGATGCCGAAATCAATGAACTGCGACAGAAGCTGTTGAGGAATGGCACAATTTCAGCTCCGGATTCAAGTGGTTAGTTGAAAAAAAAAAAACAATGTCTCAATCAACCGTCAGCTAAAATCTAAATATTCTCCTCCTTATAATCCTATACTTTATCGTTAATTATTTAACATGCATACCTTATTTAATCTTAACTAATCAATGAGATCAAATTATTTCTTAAATCATATTGCACTCCAATCTCAATTTCAAATTCTTCTATTTTTTCTTCCCTTTTTTTTTTTTTTTTTAATTTTTATTTTTTAATTTTTTTTTAATTTTTACCTTCTTTTTCATGCAAATATATTAATTTGTCACATTTCATTGCTTTTAATATGCACAATACATTATGTGTAAAAAAAAAAAAAAAAAAAACAAAAAAAAAACGATGAGAATGATCAAGCAGTAGAAATATGAGCAGAGAAGGCTAGCTTTTTGAGTCTGTTTGCAGGAGATTCTTCAGTGTGCAGTTTAGAGAAATCAGTAGACAGAGAAAAAACTTTAGATAGACTTAAGCGCAAACGTAAGAAGTCACCCGTTCCATTTGGGTTATGGTTCCTCAGTTTTTGTCCAACTGCAACTGCCATCTGTTTATAATTGTGCATTTTTATATTGCATAATTAGCTTTCAACTCTGACTGTTAAAAAAATCATCAAAGATAAATTTGGCCTGATTAGTTTTTCTGTGCATATAATTTTTTATTTCACACAGGTGGCATTTGACTTGTTGGTATTATTAGACTCCTTTGATATTTTTGTCCACTCTAACTGTTTTTACAACACTAACATGGTCTGTATTCTTTAGGACCACTTTTATATCCTTTAGGACTACTTTTATACCCTTTGGGACTACTTTTATATCCTTTGGGACCACTTTTATATCCTTTGGGGTCACTTTGAGTAAATACCGGTATACAGAAATTTGGCCAGTAGCATTGTTTCAGGATCTGAAATTCAAGCCAAAATAAGTAAGAGATATTTATTAATAATTCAATCTTAACATCCATAATTAATAACTCGGTTACATTAGCATCAGTGATTCTGTATGAATGACACATTTTTAAATAATAAATTTGCAACATGAGCTGTACTGTGTATTAACTACCTTTAGAAGTCTGTACATTAAAGATAACAAATTTATTTTTGATTTTTGTGCTCACAAATTTGAAACAAAATTGTATCTATTTTAAGCCTCCCCTTGGGTTTATTTTGGCTCAGCAGAAAATGTGTATCTTAAAATTAATGTTGTATAAAAGTCATGTTCTTGAACCCTGAAGAGTGTGGTTAGGAATGAAGTTCTATATCTCAAAATACATTTGCTCATCACTCAGATGGTCGTTTCTATTACACAGGGTAATAGTTCTGGTAATTTCTTATCCTTTCAGTTGTCAGCCTATCTGTAAAAATCATCTTTTTAAGCAGGAATGAAGTATATGTTATGATATCATAAATTTTCTTACATAGATCATGCAGACAATTTTTACTGTGATAAAGTACTGCTTCTGAAGCTTCCAGAGCTTGCCATCTTTGACGAACAGGAAGTCTTGGCATCTGTTGTTATCGTTATGATAACCTCGTCAGCAGTCATGTTTTATTTTATCTGCGTCTTCACTAGTTGACCTGCATTTTCTGTTTTGAACATCTCTTTCATTTTGAAATCCATCTTGTAGATTTGACATTGAAGGAAATCTTTTGTTTTCCTTTATCATTTTTGCATTACAGATATCGTAACCAATCTTCCTGTGTAACGTTTTATCGGTATTCTTTGATTAACTTTTGATGTAACATTTCGGAATGTGTAAAGAGAAAAAAACATCTGAAGGAATTAAATGAGTAATTTGGTGTTTTTTAGGTTACATAGTAGACGTCAATTTGTTTATCTCTGATAAAGCAATCACCATGGAAACTGATTTTAAAACAATAGTAGGGCCAACTTTCTCTGAATGATGTGCCATGAAAGGTCTACAGCATTGGCACATCATGATTATTCATCCAAAAGTCTTTAAAAATATTTGCAATCACATTTAAAATATTTATAATGATCTGTTTTTTTTTTACTTAACAGAAATCTTATTTCTTTTTATTTTTTTTTTTTTCAATAACATAAAAGTTAAAATCTTTTGCTAATTCGAACAGGCCAAGGCAGTTTCAGATAATGTTGTGCATTGTAAATTCTGTGTTAAATTGCATGCATTGTTTATTTTTTATATTGAATGTCTTTTTTTCTCTCTAATTATTCAGTACAGTGGTAATGAACTCTGAATATTGAAAGTAAAATCACTACATAGAATACTGTTGACCTAAGTTGCTAGTAGATGGTAAACAAACACAGTAGACCCAAAGTACAACTTTATATACTTTAAGAATTTCATCTTTTTTGATTCTTACAAGAATTTCAGATTAGTTTTGTGTTTGTACATGTATGGATTTTCATTTACTTTTATTCATTTCAAAATATTTTGTTAACTAAATAGATAATGTAAAAATCATACCGATATATATTAACATTCTAGACTTCACATAAACATCCCATACTCATGATATCTGAACAATGAATGCCATTCTGTTGTGTATTTTATTTTTAGCTTCTATGACTTTATTTTCAGTAAATGGTGAGAGCTATCACAGAGAGATTTTTCTGACTTCTTGATTGATTTATGTAGCACCTTTATTCTTACTTTGTTTCAGAACATGAAGTTGAAAAATTGAAGAAGGCCGTGGAAGCTTTGATGTTTTCTAACCAGGAGAAGGTGATTGAACTTAATTATCTAAATGAGTAAACTTTTTTAAAAATTCTGAATGATAATGCACTTATATGATTGATGAACCGAAATGAAGGTTTGCAGTAATTTCTTTGACCGATGATGTGTAATCAGCTGTAAAATTGGTTTAATGCTTGGTTTAAGTTTTATAATATATTTTGATAACAAAAGGGTGATTTATAGATTTCAAGAAAATTTGGAAATCTGGATAAAAATAACCAGTAGAATTTATTAAGAAAGCTATTCTTTCTTTATTTTGGTGTAACTATGTAGTAGGGATGTCAAAATATTTATTTTTCTTAGTCGATTATTCGATTGCATTATTCGAACGATAGTCGAATATTCGGAACATTTTCTGAAATAATAAAATTTTATTTCAAACTTCACTGGTACATGACGTATTTATAACTCAAAAACCCTTAATCTGTTTAAAAAGTAACATAAAAATTAATGCAGCGTAACGTTGGATAGCAAGATTATATGAAATAAATTTAGAAATCTAATATTCCTAAATTCAAGATTTCTCCATCAATCGAATTCATAAATTGGTCTGTACATGCAGTTAGTTTTTATTTAAGTTAGCATTCAAAATTTGCTAGCCGATATTTTTTAAAGCTTATTGTGAAATAAATTGGGGGGGGGGGGGGGAATCTCACATTATCCAAACGCCAGGTGGCTGTTAAATTGTTAAACAGTTAGTTACTGCTTATTCATTTATTCATGTTTCTGGCTATCAAAATGTCCTTAATTATGAACAATTTAAAATGCAAGCGAATTGTTCTAATCATTATCAAAGCGTCAAAACATGTCACATGTTCCTCGCATTTGAGCAATCTTAAAATAATAGATAATTGGTACATCGCATAAAATCAAGTCCAATTAATTTTTTTACAAACAAAGCCCAGATATATGTTGATGGTTGATTTATTACAAAAACAACACAAGCAGTAACTGGTAGATAATTAATTCTCGCGGTAGTGAAGCATTCAATATAATTACTGTACTTTCTATGCGCACATGGAAAAACAAGTTTTTTTGTAGAGGAAAATTATCTTATCAACTGTCTCCGAGGAAAGACGGTTTCTCGATTTTGAAATGAGAATTCCATATCGTTATCACTCTTTTATTGCATTTTTTTAAAATTATAATATTCGAATGTCGTTTCATTATTCGATCGTCGGTCCATTCGACTGACAGTCGAATAGTCGACTATTCGTTGACATCCCTACTATGTAGATATCATTCATTTAATGTTTGTGATTTCAAGAAGGTAAATATTTTAATTACACAGGACAAAAGAATTGATGAATTACGTAGGCTTTTACGAAGATACAAGAAAATTGAAGAGATGGTGGTTCAGGCTCAGGGTCGTAAGGGTAAGTGATTACTATACAGTTACGTGATTGACAGCATGTTGAGGTTATAAGGGGAGGTAATGTATTGTGACAGAATCCATAGGTCACAAGGGTAGGTAACTCACAGACATAACACAGAAGTGATTAAGGCATCTGTCTATCAGCATTGCATTTTGTGATTATATTTCTAGTGGGTTAAGCTGTAGATTCTTCTGTCGGGCTTATACATCATGTATATTTTCCTTTGAATGAGAGAAGATAAGTAACAAAACAAATGATAGAGCAGACATGTTGTATTTGTGAAATGAAGACCCTCCTGGTTTTGCATTACTGTTGGAGTTCTGTCAAATCATTAACATACCTCAGGCCTACTGCCAGGTGGTTCCTGCATTAAACACCATTTGTCTGTACATGTGCCAGGACTGGTTTCTACAAACATGTCACATTTTACATTTTTATGTCTTCACACATATTGTTTTAAAGTTTTAATATCCAATTACTTCTCTGTACATTTGTTAGCCTGTTAAGCTAGCACACTGCTATTAAAAACAGTTTTCGTAGGATTGAGTTTCTGGTTTGTATTTGATTATAAAACTTGCATATCCATCTTGTTTGAATTAGTTGGTTTCTAGATTGATATGCTAGTTTTTGTCAAGGAGATGTCAAAAAGCACCCTCAACTTTTTCATGTGAGAGGGATAATATATAAATAAACCTTTTCAATGTACATGTATTTATCAAGAAATCATTACTGTACATGTATATGATTTCTTCTGTTACTCACAATCAGAAAATTAACCCAAAACATCTCAAGATTTTTAGAGAGAATGGACAGCATCAGGATTTGTTCATAATATTGAAAAATTACGTGGTAAGAGTTGTCAGATAATGAATTTTTAGGTCACCTGAGTCACTCAGGTGACCTGTTGCTATCCGTTTTTGTCCGTTGGTGTTCGTCATGCGTTAACATTTGAACATTTTCAGCTTCTTCTATGAAACTGCTTAACCAATTTCAACCAATTTTCGCATTGCCATATAGCATCTTTGGGTGAAGGGGAACAAAAATTGTGAATTTCAGGGTCCCTGCCCCCCTGGGGCCTGAGGGGTGGGGCTTAAACCACCAAAATTAATGCAATCTTTAAAAATCTTCTTCACTCCGGGACATCAAGCAGTCAAACTGTTGGCATGATTGTAATAAGCAGTAAGCCCTCTACCAAAATTGTGAAATTCATGGCCCCTGGGTCAGGGGTTCTGGTGTTAGGGTGGGGCTTTATAGATCATATAGTGAAAGTGCATTATTTCTTTGAAAATCTTCTTCTCTGCTCCTGGGTATTAAACAAACTAACTAAGTACATAGTAATGATGAGGAAGAGTGCCTCTTCTAAAATTGTGAAATTCATGGCCCCTGGGTCAGGGGTTCTGGTGTAAAGGGGGGGGGGATCTATTGATTATATAGTGAAAATACATTAATTCTTTGAAAATCTTCTTCTCTGCTCCTTGGTATCAAACATACTAACTAAGTACATAGTAATGATGAGGAAGAGTGCCTCTTCTAAAATTGTGAAATTCATGGCCCCTGAGTCAGGGGTTCTGGTGTAAGGGGGGGGGGGGGGTGTTATATTGATTATGTAGTGAAAATTTTGTGTTTCTCATTAGAGGGGTGTCTATTGATAATATACATGTAGTGAAAATGTGTTAATTCTCTGAAAGTCTTCAACTAAGTGCAGAGTTATGATGATGAGGGTACCTCTTCCAAATTTGTGAAATTCATGACCCTGGGTCATGGGTTTTGGTGTCAGGGTAGGGCTGTGTTGAATCTGTAGTCATGGTACATGTAGTGAAAATGCATTATTTCTTTGAAAATCTTCTCTGCTCCTTGGCATATTAAAGGTAAATGAAGTAAAAGTTTTAATAAGCAAGGATATTTTTACCAGATTTTTAAAAATCTGGACCATTTGGTCAAGTGTTCTGGTCCTGGCCAGGGCTCTATTAATTTGTATTCTACTGAGAGAAGTTATTCCCCTTTGCAGTTCACTTTTGATAATCACTGCTGCAAATAATGTATTTGAAAAATTAATAGAATAAGAGAATAGTGCAAGAAATTTTATTGTATAATACAAAAACTACTTTCATATTTCTAATGATCAGATAGACTTGTAAATAATAGAATAATAAAACTGAGACAAAAATAACTTATTAAAAAGTAACTTCTTCAAAGACCGAGAGAGGCCAATATGAGAGATTACAATTTGGGGTTATAAAAAGTATAGAATTACCCAATAGTTTGTTAACAGTCTGCATGGTGATAGTGATAAATTGGGAACATATTAGAACTTAATTTTAATATGAGTTGTTACTAAATATTAGATTAATTAATTCATTGATCCTGATCATCCTATTTCTCTTGCTTTTGAGCAACAAAACTTCATCTACCCGTTTATTTTATATTCTATGGATCCTTTAAGTTGTTGTATTATACTCAGGTGACCGTTAAGGCCCTTGGGCCTCTTGTTCAACATTATACCCTGGATGACAGTCAGAGTTGATCACTGAGACAGTGACATTTGTGTGGTAGATTTCATTCATATTATTACTAGATATTTTGAAAGTAATATTTCTTAGAATAGCATCAGTGTGAGTTAAAACTGTCATTTGCTTTACTGACAGCTTTAGAAGAGATGATTTTAAACGCAGAGGATGATACCAGCTCCACAAGTTCCACAACTCCGTCAATAAGTGACAATGTCCCCAGAGATCAACAAGTATGTACAGGTTCTCTAATGGAAGACTCCAAATTATACACTCTTGGAAATTCAAAGAGAAAAGTGCAGAGAAGAAATTCTATCCCCATCTGTTACTTTTCAATAAAACTGAAGCAAAAAAAAGTTTTATCAAAGTTTTTATATAAGAAAAAATGTTTCCCATATGATAAGGACCTGAAACTGTCTGAGTGATGACTCATTCAAAAGAAGCTTACACAAAATTTATTTTTTATCAAATTGGATAAAGATTAAACTATTTGTATGCAAAATCATTCTAGCAAGAAATGTAATTTTTTTCCCCACAGAGTGAAGAAGGGAAGGAGAGACCTTATCCAAATCCAAGTGCCACTAGTACTCCAGGTATGACTGTATCAGTGTAAACAACAGACAGATATGTCTGGTTACAAAGCGTTTAAGGTTTGACATTGATACATATTAAATGTGTTCATACTTAAGAGTAATATACAGGTAAACTTCGATATCTCGAACTTGGCGGGACTGAGGAAAAACGTCGAGATATCCAAGTGTTTGAGATATCGAAGTTGATGAATTTGGTACCAATATTGTTATGTTACATGTTCTATTAACAGGAAAGTACCCTCCCCCCTTTCCACCACGTGCATAATTTAATTTAAGCGGTAAATGTTTCAGTTTGTACTTAGTGATATCCTTTTTAAAATACATTTGCATATACACTTATAATGCATATATTATTTTATTCAATACTGCAACACTTACATTTTATCGCGATAATCATGCTGGTTTCAAGATTTCTGATACCCGGATATGTGTTATGCTTTGTAAATGATAAACCGATCACTGTAGTAAGGATTAAGACGGAAACAGGAATTATCGTTCTACAATAATTTATTGAAATTGCCAATATGCATAAACAAAAGCAAACTTTGTTTCGATTGTATGAACTTTAAGTTTTCTTTTTACACCACGGTCAGATAATCTAAATATCCCCCGAGTTGGCTACCGGGTCCTTCGTTAGATTGCCTTATTGGACATGATGTGTACTGAAGATTTTTGGTACTGACTTTTATACTCAAAATAATGTCTTTAATTGTTTGATTTCTTGAGATCAATATCACTTTGATGTGTTCAGTGTTTACTTTGATATGTAATTATTTGTACAAATGTGTATTTTCCATAAATTTAAATTCCTATTACAGTAATCGTCCCCAAGCCGCTGTTTCATTATCTTGTCATCATATCTCTGAGTTTGCATTTTATTAACACCTCCAAATCACCTGGCCTGCGTAATTAAATTTAACTACCAAAAATGACAGCTTGGGGCTAATAAGGTGTGATTATCAGCACTGGTCCCATGAAGCCTGTGCTAGACCTAACGGAAACGTTCAACAGACTGTAAAATTAGCATAATGGGATTATTGTGTACTAAGGTGTGAATTCAGTGGAGCGAGAATTTGTTGGACTTCGAGATAACGCATGTGTTTATAGCACTTGGGACCGTAAATGTACTTCGAGATAAGCGAGGTATTCGAGATTTCCGTGTTCGAGATACCGGGGTTTTTTAAAATCATAAATATAATAAAAACTGCCGGGACCGTTGATTCACTTCGAGATATCCGTGGTATTCGACATATCGGTGTTCGAGATACCGAAGTTTACCTGTATGTATTTTACACAAAATATGTTCATATCTAGAGTAATATATTACTATTTTACACCAAATATGTTCACACTTAGAGTACTAAATTTTACACTAAATGTGTTCATACATGGAGAACATTTTACTTATCAGTGCACTCTTTGCCAGAGAATGGCATCGGAACAGGAAGTTCTACTGTCCTATCTGGGTCATCTCGCCGAGCTCTGCAGCGCTCCAACAGTGCTGAGGATGTTACACCCACCAATCAGAAAGTAGGTCAACAGTTCATCGTAACAAAGATTAATAATCAGACTTAAGCAATATTTGACAGTGTCAACTATTTTGAATTTAAAAATTATGATGAGTATGATGAGTTATATCCTACTTTGTATTTTTATACAGAAAAAATCCTCAATAAACAACAATGAACCTGAGGGATATCACAATGGAGGAAACACTCTTAACTTTGGTACGTTTCCGGGTGAGGGTAGTGAGGTTCGAAGGTCTCGGGGTTTCCTTGCGCTCGGAACAGCCCTGCTTCGTGTCAAAACGGGAAAACGGAGCACGTCAGCTCCAAACCTAGGTGATGGGAACATGAGTATTATGCCTGAACTTGTGTATCACTTGGCATGCTCTGTTCTCACTAACAACAGTTATACCCAGTGCATCAAGATCTGTTCCATAACAGAACCACAAATAAAACTCCTTAAACATATATAACTGCCTGTGAATCGGACTGTAAGAACTTGAACCAAGGAAAAAAAGCCTTGTTACTTTTAGTTTCCATCTTGTCCTCACAGTTGCATGAAATATTAACAATTGAAAATTTTCAGAAATTGAAAACATTAAGTGTAAAACTTATTGAAAGTTACGTTTTTTAATTTTTTTTTAAAAGGAACTTTTAGAAATATTAAGTATTCTTGCAGATGATGCATGAAAGGTACTCTGAATACAGAAATATGTATTCACTGTAAAGCTTTCCAGAAAATCGGAGTACATTGAAGAATAAAATTTGAGTTGTAGCATGTATGAGTCAATTTGGTGTGATGACTGTATATGACTTAACATTGCCCAGGTCTCTAACAATTAACAACAATATATATACATAAGCTTTGGTTGTAAAGCCCTCATTAAGAAGGGCTCTATAACCAGAACATGATACTGATATTTAAATCAGATTCAGTTTATCTATCAGCAAAAAAAGTCTATTTTGACCACATTTATTTCAAAGAAATTCTGACAAGATTACCCAAGGGAGAGATGCTTTTTATTAAGTGTTATTTGTAAATTGGAAACTTTAATATTCTGCAGTATTTACATGTACCTTAAATCATACAATGCTATATTTTAATTTGAATTTATTTTCAATGTATTATTTTGAATATTTAAATATGTTTATATGGTATATTCAGTGTGGAACATTATATTATATATTGATTGCATATTCCATAGATCTGCATGAAATGTATCAAGTAGTAAATATACACTTAGTCACTCCATTGAATTTAAAGCAATTTACTAGAATTAATGCACAAAATTTTAAAATCATTTCATAATAATGTGGATTTCTAAAAAAATATTTGAAAGTAGTGGAAAGTGATTAATTTAAATAATGTTTTTGATTATATATATCTGTAATATATACATGTAATATGATATTGATAGGTTGTTTTTTAATTATTAAAAAAAAGACAAATTCTAGAAGGAAAATGTTTAGGTCTTTCCCAAAAATAATGATAAAGTAGTTTATTACATTTACTGACTTGTTTGAGTGATATTTTAATAACAGCTAACACAGAAGTAGTGACAGATGATGAAGACGGGTTACAGCATGTTGGGACATCCCGTCCGCCGGATGTGAAGAAGAAAAAGGGGATCCGGGGGCTGTTTGGGAAGTAAGGAATCACTCTGAAGTTTTTTACTAGAAGTCAAAATTCTGATGAAAAACTTCCTGGTACATAAATAAAATAAATGTTCACAGATTAAAGAGGAGTGGATCGCAAGATTTTCATGAACGTGAGAGAGACCAGTTCAGAAGGGGAGGCGTGCGAGCAACAGCTACAGCTCGACTTGGATGGTCTCGAGATGTGCGCAGTAATGAGTATGTTGATAAGATCTTTTACCTTTGCATGTCAGATTGATCTCTTAGACTTTTGAGTGATGATTTACAGAGCTTTTTTCAATCTGAAAAAAAAAAAAAAAAAAATTTACATTTCACTGGTTGAAGAGTGCGCATGTACTCAATTTTAATTTCAAATGTGAGCATGCAGGTTTATTTGATGAATTAGTATTAAATTTCTCTGTACAATGAAATGTCTGGTTGACACCACAAAAGGTGAAGTTCTACAATAACCATTGTTTTAATAGAGAAATATTATCCCTTACAAGTCATCTTATTTTAATTGTAGTTTATATAATAATAGGTAAAGTATAAACTGGGAGATTTTGCTATGTTGAAGTGTATCATGATATAACTAACCAGGTAACAAGTATATGCCAGGACTGTACTCTTTAACCTTGTATATCCATGAATAATGTATGCCGTGTTATCCTAGGAATGCTATCTGAATACAAACTTCCAATACCTGTAGTATACATTGTACTGCCTTAACTGAAAGTGTAAGTGTACCTTGGAATAATTTATGAATTGAATCATCTTGAGTATGAATGTGGAGTGCACCTTATCTGCTCATGGGTCATACAAGTATAATGAATTAACAGCATTTAGATATGTACAGTTGAAAACAAAAATGGCAGGAGAATACAGCATTAACACATAATCTAATCTAACCACAACTATATGTATGTTGAACCACTTCCCTCCCTTTGTGTACTTTCTTTTTCAGCACAAATATCTGTCTCTGACATATGTGTATGTAGATAGACTTTTATGTGATTCAGTCAGTACCGGTATATGCATTTTGATTTTGAAAAAAAAAAAAGATCTTGGTTGTCTTATAGTTTTGTATACTTTTAGAAATAGAAAATTTAACACTTTCCTTCTGGTTTTCCAGTGAGATGCCGTTCTCGAGATGGGACTGTGAACGGGTGTGTCTGTGGTTGAATGACTTAGGTCTCAACATGTACCTAATGGACTGTCGCAGATGGGTCAAAAATGGGGAACAACTCTTACGAGCCACTCAGCATGAAATAGAGAAGGTTATATCTAAATAATAATTAATGTAAAATTTCCGCTACCAATAAATAGAGAAGGTAATATCTAAATAATAATTAATGTAAAATTTCCTCTACCAAACCTAACTTTATACTGTTTCTTTTTCATGGCTCTTCTTTTTTTTTTTCGTGAATGTAAAGGTGACTTTTTTTTTCTGTGCAGGTAAAAGTGATTTTTTTTTTGTACAGTATAGCTAATTTTACAGTAGGAGTATGATTAACTTAGGACTGCTGCTTAGATACTGTGATTTTACATACATTCACTAACTGTACATCTACTTGCATATAATCACTTTGAAGACAAAAGATTATATAATGAAACCTGTTTATTCTGACATGTACTGGGAGATAAAATTTGTTTTGGAATAGACAGGGTGATGGATTGCACAGTTTAAAGAATATAGAAAACGGTAAAATAGGATTTAAATAAGGGTTGGAAATCGCAGTAAAAAGGATTGCTTTTTTTTATAGGAGCTTGGGGTAAAGAACCCCCTTCACAGAAAGAAGCTCCAGTTAGCATTACAACAGATCAGCAGCACAGGAAAAGTCAAGAAACAGGACCTGGATCACCACTGGGTTACACGTAAGTAAGCGTAATATTATAAGAGAATAGGGACCTGGATCATCACAGAGTTACTTAATAAGTAGTAAGAGAATAGGGACCTGGATCATCACTGGTTTACACATAAGTAAGCATAGTAAGAGAATAGGGACCTGGATCATCACTGGGTTATACATAATTAAGCATAGTAAGAGAACAGGACCTGGATCATCACTGGGTTACATGTAAGTAAGCATAGTAAGAGAACTGGACCTGGATCACCACTGGGTTACACATAAGTAAGCATAGTAATAGAATAGTGACCTGGATCATCACTGGGTTACACGTAAAAAAGCATAGTAAAAGAACAGGACCTCTGTTCACACTAGACTACTCATAATTAGACAAAGTAAGAGAAACAGGACCTCAAACACAAATGGGTTACACATAAATAGTCATAAAATGTGAACAGGACCTATGTTGCCACTTGGTAACAGGTAATTGGGCATAATAAGACAACAGGACCTACATCACTCCTGGGTTACAGGTACCTAGGTAGAACCTTGATCACCAATTGGCTATACATAATAAGGCTTAGTTAATAGAATAAGGCCTCCGTTACCACTAGGTGACACATTAGTAGGCATAATCTCAGTCTTCACTAGGTTACAGAATTTGAAATGTAAGAAGGCACAGTCAAGAAGCAGGAACTGGATCAACACTGGATTACATGTAAGTAGGCATAGTAAAGAAATGGGACCTTGGTCATCACCAGTTAGGGTTACTTACAGTTGTATACAAAGTCAAAACACAGGACCTCCTACCCAATAATTCACAAAGTACAAATCACAGCCACATCAGATTTCTGAAGCAGTAGGTAGAGTTTAAACAGGAAATTTTATTAATTATATGTGTGGTGTATCCTTTAGATTTAATTGTTGGTCACTTTAGAACATGAATGACAGACCACAGAATGATTAAGGTGGCAGTAATGCAAAAAAAAAAAAAAAAAAAAAAAAAAACAACAACAACAAACAAACAAACAAGTTGATATGAAAGTCCTACAAAAAGATGGCAGCAACTTTCTGATTTGTCAGTCACGTACAGGGTTATTTTTTGTGATGAGCAAAAAAATATAATGTCAAGTGCCTGTGGTTCTAAAAAACTCTTTAACCTCTGAAGCTGTTGAGTAAGAGCTATTTTTTCCATGTCCATTATGTATTAAAGTAATATCCTTATCAGAAGAAAATATTTTTAAAAAATGTCAGTCATTGGCCAGGTAATAATTTTAATAGGATGCATTTATGTTTATTGCTAGCTGTTTCTTATGATTTGAAAAACTGCTGCAGAAAATCCATTTTCATTGAGTATTACAATTTGTAAAATCACTTTTCAGGTTGGCTGGATGATATTGGGTTGCCTCAGTACAAAGACAATTTCTATGATGGCAGAGTGGATGGTCAAATGCTGCACTATCTTACAGTGGTAAGTTTTGAATATTTGGTCAAATTCTGCACTATCTTATAGTGGTAAGTTTTGAATATTTGAAGAGATAAATAAATATTATCAATCATAAAAAGTAATTTGAGTTGGTACAAAAAAACTTGTAAAGTTTGCAAGCTCACGTAGAGTGTTCAAACCATAAAGTTTGAAAAAAAAAATCCTTAAAAACTTTTCTTCATACATACACTGGTATATAGTATACATCCAGTAATTGATAAAAAGTCTGGACAATTATTTTACAGCCGTGTATTTCTTAAGGAAGAGTCAATCAAAAACTATCATTCTTGCATGATAAAGAAAAATTAACAGAAAATTAAGTTATGTAGTAATCATTTTTAGTGATGAATGCTGGGTACCAAAAAAATCTAACAAAGATTAAATTAAAGTGTAGCAAAGTAACCATGACAGTACTAGTCTCTTATACATGATATATGTGCACAAGGTCAGTCCTAGGACTGTCATTTTTGGGTTTTTTTTGATAAAATGGCAACCACTTAATATGAGAAAAAGGATTGAGACTTTAAGGAAGATTTAAGTTTAATGTGTTTTAGTTTATTCAAATTAAATAATATCAATTAATTCTGTAACAGGAGGATTTACTATCCCTGAAAGTGACCAATGAACTTCACCATGTCAGTATCAAACGGGCCATCCAAGTGTTACATGCCCATGGATTTAACCCCCAGTGCCTTCGAAGAAGACCCTCCCCTGATGAGGTTTGTAATTATTGTGGGTAATTCCATGTAGTGTGTGGTTAATGTTGTCAATAAGATGTACCAATTTTAGTGATTGAGTACCATAAAAAATATTATAAATTTTTTAGGGTCAGTTACAAAATATCCCAGCTGATGTCTCATTGTGGACGAACCATAGAGTGATGGAATGGCTTCGTACAATAGATCTGTCAGAGTACGCTCCCAACCTTAGAGGCAGCGGAGTTCACGGAGCGTTAATTGTAAGTCACCCGCCAGCATCTTGTATTATCAAGCTAAGAAAAAGTGTCGTACATGAGTATATCAGCTAAAATGGCTTAGATGGAAGCAGTAATAACCATTATTACTTAAGACATGCATAAGTGATTGATTTCTATTCAATGTATGTTTTCCAAGAAAAATATGTTTGAGAGTACTAAGTTGCAGTAATAAGTGAAATATATCCTAATATTGATACCTCATAGAAATTGATTCAGAGGAGAGAATACTAGCTACTTAAACTAAGTATTGATGATGAAATTTTGACTTTCAGGTCTTGGAACCAAGATTCAATGCTGAATTATTTGCCCAGATTTTATCAATCCCTCACAATAAAACTTTGTTAAGAAGACATCTTAGCACTCATGTGGTGGCCCTCATTGGCAACGAAACTCAGCACAAAAAGAGGGAGGCAGAGTCCACTTCTGGTTATGTGCCACTCCTACCTAGTGCTAAAGTCAAGGTAAAGATGTAGAAAGTTCTGTGTATTTTGAGTTGGTTGAAAATTTAAATATTTCCATGTATTCTTCTGTAAGGTCAGGCAGGTTCGATCCCAGGTGGCCAGATAGCTCAGTTGCTAGAGCACCTGACTAGAGATTCAGGGGGCCTAGGTTCAAATGCTGGTCTTGTTCATCACATTTTTCTGCCATGCCATGGAAGTGACAGGTGAAAGACCTGCCAGGGAAGAGCCTGGGTTGGTATCTTCAGGGGCAAAGACCATTAAGGAGTTAAGAATGTGGCGATCAGGAAGGTTCGATCACTGGTGGCCAGATAAATCAGTAGAGCACCTGACTAATAATTCAGGGGGCCCAGGTTTGAATCCTGGTCTGGTCCGTCGCATTTTTGTCCTTTCCTGTTAACTTCTATACATAAATCTACTGAATAGACATTAAGTACCCTCTATTCACTAATGAAAATTGTGTTTTTGGACGTTGAGGAAGTTATATTCCATAAAGGTGTAGATGCTGAGTCTATTTCATTTTCAACTAAGGCTACCAGCCATTTACCCCCAGAAAAGACAATGAAGTATTGGTGAACAAAAATCATTAACGTTACCTGTTGCTTACAGAAAATAAAAAATTACATGCAAATGAAGTGTTCAATTAATTCATTAATTCATCTAGGCCTAATGAATGTTAAGAAGGCTTGAATTGGTTAATACAATTTAGATTTCAATTTAATTCAATTTAGATCTAAGGGCAGATCACTAACTGCATAAAAATACCATAGAATTAGAACTCTTGCATGAGGTGTATAGAGGGTTCTTAAAAAGAGATTACTTCAGTGAAGTATACAAAAAAAAAAAAAAAAAAATGCTGGTACACAGAAATTATTTATGCAGAGTTTCTTCACTTGTTAGTACATGTATGTATCATTGCTGTTTTAGTAAACCTTGTTTTCAATGTTTCTCCTTGTACATACATGTATAATGTTGATATTGGTATAATAGGACAATATTTAACATTTATTGCCTTGTTCTGTTCTTATGGTTCATCTAGTTTTGAGAATAAAATTTGAATAAAAGAGCATTATCAATTTCAGAGTAAGAAGTTTGGGATTTTTGGTCACAAGAGGAATAAATCAGATGCTGATTTGGAGGATTTTATCTGCCCAGACTTTACAAGGAGACAGAACGGGGTGCCCCAAACAAAGGAGGTACGAAAATTTTTGTGTCGGGCTAAAATAAAGAAATATTATTGTACGCTTTATACAAAGAAGAATAGAAATACAACCCATTATTCTCTCTTTTATTTTTGGAAACCAATTTAATAGGATACAATGTGCTGTAAATCCAGAGATTTTTTTCAGCCCAAAGGAAATGGTTCTGATACCGATCTAATTAGGAAAAATAGTGTTGAAATAGAACATTAGGATTTCTATCATATCAACAAAAGACACTTATTCTAAACTCATTTACTATTAATCCATGTTTTAAAAAAAACGAACAGCAAGTATTCATTGTTTTACATATTAATTAATGTTTCTTCTCACATTTTCATGCTTTCAAGTTATCAATGATGACAGACTCTACTGTCTATAAGTCTCGTTTAGCCATATTAAGATTCTACTTTTGATTAAAAGGAAGTGAAAATTTAAGTCAACTCATATAACTTTTCATACAAAAAGAAAAAAAATCATTCTTGCATATAATTGTGTAATTAAAGATTATGAAGAACAAAACCAGTATTTATCAAAATTTTGTCTCGCTTATAAATTCAATATTATGATGTCACGAAAAGAAGGTGTTGCGAAAATCTGGTGATCTACAGTATTTTGATTTTGAATTTTGTGTTGTAGTATTTGATTTAATGCTAAACTTCAGTGGACTATTCTTATTGACATGGTGGAATTGTTAAGCATGTTGGACATGTATGCAAAACCATTACTCATGGTCTTTGTTTTATTTTGTTTTAGAGAGATGAAAAGGCTGCTAAAGAAATAGGTGCTTACTCTAAAGAGATCAATACTTTAACAGTAAGTCTTAAATACTTTCCTCTTTAAAACATTTTCAGTTTCCTGTTCAAAGACTCTTCCTATACTGTTCTTGAGTTTCAGTCAGATTAATAGCACTTGGTACACAAGTAGATTACACCAAGATATATAATACTGTATCAGATGTTGATTTTGTTGAATGTTGTTTCCTTGGTTCTTATAAATAGAAATTTATTTTAAATTCCTATGAAAAACTTCTCTAATAGTCTTCATACCATTTTGTTCTGATTTCAATAGAACTTGGCACAAAAGTAGAAGACTACAGAGGATATATAATTCTGTGTATCAATTTTTGGTTTTATAGACAATGTTACTTGGGTTTTAAAATCCTTTCAAAATGCTAATCCCTTTACATCTTATTTCAGTTTCAGTAGAACTTTATACTTGATAAATATGATTCTGTTTAAAAGTAAAAAAATCAAATTACTTTGATGTTTTTGTCTAATTTCATAAAACTACACCAAAGTACACAATTCTATGCATTGGTTGAACATGGTTGCCATGATTATCAAAAATAAAAACAATATATCTAATTCTTTCAGTAGTGATACAGTCTTCTCAGAGACAGCTAGTTTGAAGATATGTATTGAATATTGCTTGTTTTTGTTTTGCTTGTTCTAATACAATGATTTTTATGGCCTTGTAGGATATGCTTGCTCGTGACAAGTTTCTGGACAATGTACCCACATCTAATGTGTGAGTCAATGCTGAAAACATAATATTTACCAAATATGAAGTGGATCAAAACCCCTGCCATTGAAATCAATCATGAAACCATACACAGGTGGACTCTACCCACGATCAGGTGTTTTATGGATAAATTTGTTTACTTTGGTTGTGATGGTAACCAAATGTGCCTTGCTGGTGGCTGGCCACTATTAAGTATCTCACAGATTACAAGTTTGCCAAATTTTTATCTTGTATTTATAGTTTTAATGTGTTTTATTGAGGTTGTAAAATTGTGAACAAATGAAATTGTATAAAAATGCAATTGTGTATAGATGAAATTATGTCCATAGTTTGTATATATGAAAATATGTAGTTAGCAATTATAGAAAAAAAATTATATACTGTAAATTGAAACATTCAGCTATCATATCATCTTTCAGATTTAAAGTATTTTGATGGTAGTTGTCTTTTTTGCATGTTCTTGGTTATTTTTCTTTCTAGGTAAATTATCATATACAACCATTCTAATTCAAGACAATATATTTTTTATTTTATGTTTTACAGCAACAAAAGAGATTTTTAAGTCAATATAGTCATTCAGTGTCTCAAGCAAGTTCTAGTGCTAAAGTATGAATACATACTTGGATTAAAAAAATATTCTTTTGGTTTAAAGTAAATTGCTTGTATTATTGGATATTAATTTTTGAAAGGGAAGAAATAATTCATACTGATAGGGTTAACTCAATTTTATTTTATCTTAGAATTTATTTTCCAATGATTTTGTCACATTTTTTTTCATTTTATGTGTTAAAATACAAAGAGTGGAAAAATTATGATTTAATTTGAACAGATGTTGAAAGGAAATTTAGACAGATCGAGTCCTTCAGATTTTGCTGGACAAAATCAAATGCAAATTAAGTTTTTCTCTGTTTTCCTTCAGAAATACTTCCTGTTCCCAGAACATTGAAGTTTTCAGCATCATTTTTCTACTCATATGCATTGTACTTTTAATACAGTTTTTGTGAGACCAGTCATTTTCATCTTATTAAAAGCAAAATTTATATTTCTTTAATTAACACATTAGCAGAAATTCTTTAATAGGGATTTCATCAGGATTTTTCAAACACTAATTTCAAACATTAATTAATAATGTATATTCTGTTGGGGGAAATTAGAAGGAAAATAAATGGCATAGCCTTAAGAATCTAGTGTAGAAAATTACAATTTTTTTGTGCCTGGATTTGTTTTCATGTTTGTTTACATGAAAACTAATTAAAGTAGTTCCCTATGAGTAAGCTATAGCCAAGTCATGGGAAGATATTTTGAAATTATGTGGCTGAAAATATTCTAATCTAATCTTTATTATATCAATATGACATTGTAATATGTTTGCATAAGTTAATCTCCAACACTGCTGCACAATATTGTAGAGCTTTTTTGTTTTTAAAAATATTTTTATGGAAAAGCTTTCAATTGATATCTATTAGCTTGCCTGATTTGTTAATGCTTGAATTGATTTTTTGCTGTTATTTGTTAATATAATTCAAAATGTAATCTTTTACGAACATTATTGTGAACAAAGCTCATATTCAATACATGATTTTTTCTAAGATAAAAAAATGCTAGACAGTTTTAAAATTACGTCCTGCTCTGTAATTCTTTCAATTCGGTTTTTAAACATTGCAGAAATGAAAATTTAGCTAACCATAGAAGTTATTTAGAAATTCTAATTATGTGACTGAGGTTAGGATTTTTTTTTTAAATAACAATATTAAGTTCATTTACAATATACACTTGTTTTTACTTCCTCATTATGGAACTTTAATCATTGCTTCTCATGGTATGATTATAAACTCTATTGAGATACAGGAAATTAGTTCTATCAGAAACCTTTTGACTTTGTATTTTTATGTTGTACTAGTATTTTCTTTTCATAGACATTATGTTTTACATTTCTTTCCATAAAACCATGTTTTAGAATGCAAAACAATAAAATCTATTTTAAGTGATACCTATCCTCTGTGTATGTGTGTTTTTAAATATCACAATTTTTTTAAAAGTATGTCAGCATATTCAACATCTTGACAATGTCAAGGTTTTGTGATGTCATTCCTCTCCTGTAGAGGGACAAAATCACAAAATCTTGACATGGTGAAGATGATAATTTACAGTACATATGTTCTGAGACTCAAAATACACTCAACCTTGAAAGGAAAATGCATGTATGATATCAGAAAATCCTGTCAATATTAAAAAAGAGTGGATCTATACCATAGTTATTGCTAAAACACTTGATGCTTATCAGTGAAATGCATTGTTTATCATAAAAACAATGGAGAACGGTTAGTATTGATGTCAGAACAACCACTTGTATCGAGTACGAAGACTGAACGTGTAAATTTTATATACAAATACTTATAATAATGATAAAGAGAAATGGAGGAATATTGGAAAATATCAATACAAAAATTGTGTGACAACTAAAGGGTTCATATAAAAATCAAAAATCTTGATAATGAATATCAATAAAATCCTTTTTTAACCATTATTCTTGTGAAATGCATAATATGTTTACATGTTTCAATTTTTTAAAAAATCTATTTTTATATACTTTTGTACACTGGAATGACCACGCATACCCATTTTTTCACCAACTATGAAAGAGCATGCTCTGGGTACGATCAAGTTTTGAAACGAGACAAGCTAATGATAAATAAGTTGGTTTTACAATGACCTTCAACAATCTCGTTTAAAGTCTGGATTTTGCAAATTATGTGGTCGTTAAATAACCTTGTTTGTCAATACAACCTATCGTTGGGTCATATTTTGATTAATATGTTTCCCACCAATAGTTAGGCCATTGTTTGTTCTTAAATTCTGACGAAGAATTACTCTGTTTTAAATTTTAAAACCCAGGCAGGCTACTGACAATTAAGTTTGATTTTGCAGGGATTTCAATAATCTCGTTTAATGTCAGCAATTTGTAAAACCTATGGTCATAATAATGACATTGTCTGCAAATACAGCACACATTGGGTCGTATTTTGACTGACATATTTCATACCAATTGTTAGACCTTGTTTTTATACTAAATTTGACGACGGATTACTCCGTCTACTTGATCAATACATAGGGCTCACGGCAGGTTTGACCGGTCGACAGGGGGATGCTTACACTTCCTAGGCACCTGATCCCACCTCTGGAATTTCCAGGGGTCCGTTTTTAGGCCCTGTTCACAGATTTGTATCGTTTATATGTTTTTTGAGCTTGAATACTGTTCGTTATCTCCATATATTTCATCAATCACTGTTCGCTATTTTCACTGATTATTTTCTTGCCAGTCGAGGACAGATTTATTTTTATTTTCATCATTTCCAAGGACAGATTATCCCCCCCCCCCACCTCGATCAAATGACCGCCCCCTTACGAAATTTATGAGATTGATCACTGTTTGTTATACTTTCATATTTAACATCCATTCAATTAAGGGCTAAGGCGGTAGGGTAGATTTTAAACTTTGTGCAAGAATGAGCAAAGACGGATAACTTTGGACATTTTATGAGGCCTCTGCTGGTGGACTGTAAATCCCCGAGGGTCCCTACAGCCCGGTAGCTAAGTACTTCGGTACAAGCTTGAAAATACGGATATATATTCAATTGGTTTGGTAAAATTTAACAATCTATTTCAAAATTAAGGATCATCTCCCTCATGCATAGCTCTGATCTTTCGACGTATTTGGCTCCAGTCTTTGGCACCTTTTTTCAGCTCTTCAAAGTCTTTTTTATTTAAATATTTTGGATTTCCAACGTTTCGGCATGAGCATCACTAAAGAGACATAATTTGTCGAAATGCGCATCTGGTGCATCAAAATTGGTACCGCATATGATTTACATCCATGACCAAGGTGTATGACAAGATCCTTTTATCATTTACATGATTAAGCAATCTCCCAGTCCTCTCAGTACACGTCTCATTTCTCTCAGTACACGTCTCAGTCCTCTCAGTATACGTATCAGTCCTCTCAGTACACGTCTCATTCTTCTCAGTACACGTCTCTCTCTTCTCAGTACACATCTTTCTCCTCTCTGTACACGTCTCTCTCCTCTCAGTACACGTCTCATTCCTATCAGTACACGTCTCTCTCCTCTCAGTACACTTCTCAGACATGTCAGTACATGTACACGTCTCATTCCTCTCAGTACACGTCTCTCTCCTGTCAGTGCACGTCTCTCTTCTCTCGGTACAAATTTTTACAATTAGCTTAGTCTGAAGAAGTAAAGTGCATATATTTTCATGTTTTATTAAAATGCACTTTGGACAGTGCATTCACGTCATTTTGGACATTTTTTTGGTAAAGCTTGTTCCAATTTAATTTTACTTGTAGGATATAAGTTTTCGGATAATGTTATCACATCTAATGTGTGAAGGCAGAAAACTGTACTTTTACCAAAAATGAAGTGCATCAAAACTACTGCCATGAAATAAATCTGTCATGAAAACCATGCACAAGTAGACTCTGCCCACAATCATGTGTTTTATTGACAAATTTGTTTACTTTGGTTGTGATGGTAACCAAATGTGCCTTGCTGGTGGCTGGCCACTATTAAGTATCTCACAGATTACAAGTTTGCAAAATTTTTATCTTGTATTTATAGTTTTAACATGTTTAACTGAGGTTGTAAAATTGTGAACAGATGAAATTGTAGTATAAAAATGTCATTTTGTATAGATGAAATTATGTCCATAATTTGTATTTATGAAAGTACGTAGTTAGTAATTATAGAAAAATGTTATATATTGTGAATAGATTCATTCATACTCTCACATTTATATCATTCATTTTTAGCTCACCTGAGCCGAAGGCTCAAGTGAGCTTTTCTGATCGAAATTTGTCCGTTGTCTGTCGTTGTTGTTGTTGTTGTCGTCGTAAACTTTTCACATTTTCATCTTCTTCAGAACTACTGGGCCAATTTCAACCAAACTTGGCACAGAGTATCCTTGGGTAAAGGGGATTCAAGTTTGTTCAAATGAAGGGCCACGCCCTCTTCCAAGGGGAGATACTAGTAATTTACAAATTAGTGAAAAATTAATGGCATCTTTTAAAAATCTTCTTCTCAAGAACCGCTGGGTCAGAAATGATGAAACTCATGTGGAATCATTCTCAGGTAGTGTAGATTCAAGTTTGTTCAAATCATGACCCCCGAGGGTAGGGTGGGGCCACAATGGACGATCAAAGTTTTACATAGGAGTAAATAGCAAAAATCTTTAAAATTCTTCTCAAGAACAGCAAAACCATGATTAATCATATTTATATGGAAGCATCCTCAAGTGGTGTAAATTCAGATTGTTCAAATCATGACCCCCGGGGGTAGGGTGGGGCCACAATGAACGATCAAAGTTTTACAGAGGAATATATAGGAAAAATCTTTAAAAATCTTCTCAAGACAGCAAAGCCATGATTGGTCATATTTACAAGGAAGCATCCTCAGGTGGTGTAGATTCAATTTTGTTCCAATCATGACCCCTGAGGGTAGGGTGGGGCCACCATGGGCAATCAAAGTTTTACATAGGAGTATATAGGAAAAATTTTTAAAATCTTCTCAAGAACAGCAAAGCCATGATTGGTCATATTTATATGGAAGCATCCTCAGGTGGTGTAGATTCAAGTTTGTTCAAATCATGACCCCCGAGGGTAGGGTGGGACCACTATGGAATCAAAGTTTTACATAGGAATATATAGAAAAAAATCTTCTCAAGAACAGCAAAGTCATGATTGGTTATTAACTATTCGGATGTATCCTAAGGTATTGTAGATTCATGTTTGAAAAAAAAATCATGACCCCATGGGGAAAGGGTGGGGCCACAATTGATGATTAAAGCTATGCATAAGAATACGTAGGCAATTTAAAAAAAAAAAAAAAATCTTCTTCTCAAGAACAGCAAAGCTATGATTGGTCATAATTATATGGAAGCATCCTCAGATAGTGTAGATTCAGATTTGTTCAAACCATGACCCCCGGGGATAGAGTGGGACCATAATGAAAGTTCAATCTTGTCGGAAAAAAGTCACAGACAAAGAAATATGTGAGCATCTTTAGTTAATTTAGATTCAATTTTGTTCAAATCATACCCCCGTCCCTTTTTAGGGTTAGGTCGGGACCACTTATGCATTAAAGCTTTTCAATACTGAACTGATTTTTGCTTTTTTCCTAGCCACAGTGCTCAGATGAGCGATGTGGCCCTTGGGCCTCTTGTTTAAGAATTGGACAAATTGACAGTAGTTGTCTTTTTTGCAAGTTCGTAGTTATTCTTTCATTCTAGGTAAATCGACCATACATTATACAACCATTCTAATTCATGGAAATTTACATGTATTATTTTATATATAAAAAAAGCAGAAGATATTTTTAAGTCACTGTAGTCATACGGTGTCTCAATAAGTTTTAGTGCTAAACTTTGAATACATGTTTTTGAATTAAAAAATATCCTTTTGGGTTAAAGTAAATTGCTTGTATTATTGGGATATTAATTTTGTAAAGGGAAAAAATAATTTAAAGTGTCAACACAATTTTTATTTTATCTTGGAAACATTTTTTCCCAGTGATTTTGTTACCATTAAAAAAAAAATTTCTATCTATTAAAATACATCGTGGATAAAATTATGATGTAATTTGAACAATTGTTGAAAGGAAATTAAGAGCAAGATTTTGCTGGACAAACTCAAATGCAAATTAAGTTTTCCTTTCCTTGCTAGATACTTCCTGCTGTCAGATAATACAAAGTTTTTAGCATTTATTTTCCTAAGCATTTGTACTTTTATATGGTTTTTATTACAAGATCTTATTAAAAGCAGTTTATATATCTTAGCCCTAAGAATCTAGTGTACAAAATTACAAATTTTTTGTGACTAAATATGTTTTGTGTATTTTATTTCTGTAAGCATGAACACCAGTTAAAAGAAGTTTCCTTTGAGTTAGAAATGTACTAAGCTATAGCCAAGTCACAGGGAAA